ATGTATACATACATATATATATATATATATATATATATATATATATATATATATATATATATTATAAATATATATATATATATATATATATATATATATATATATATATATATATATATATATATATATATATATTTGTGTGTATATATACATATATATATATATATATATATATATATATATATATATATATATATATATATATATATATATATATTTGTGTGTATATATACATATATATATATATATATATATATATATATATATATATATATATATATATATATATATATACATATGGTATTTAATCGTGTTTTGCTTTTTATTTCAATCATAGCTGATATCACAGTTGTCGATGTCTCTTTCCAGAGCTGCAATTCACAATGGCACGCCTCATACTGTGTGTGTTGGCTATGCTAGTGGCCGGCATCTCCGCCGGGAAGAAACTCTCCCACTCCCCGGCATTCTCCTGGGATGCAGGTAAGTGGATCCCGTCATTTTCATAAACACAAACTATCATTTTCATAAACACAAACTAACTCACTCACAAACTAATGCTTGTGGTAAACTATCCGATAACATTTCTGAAGCTGACAAGATTTTCGTAATTTGTTCTGTGAAAAACTGATATGCCCTTATTTTGCAAACATGCTCATATTCTTGAAACTAATTGCCGCAAATAAAATGTTATTAATCAAAGCATTTATAGATTTGCAAATGTCAGATCCATGCTGCTATTCTGTATATATTATCATTCAAATCATTCCTATATTTTTTTTCAGCTGTGTATCAGAAATTATCATCCAAAACCTCCCTATATCTTAATTTATTAGACCATATCCATTGGGTCATACTCTTCAAACACCAAACCAAGCATTAACACACTTCTACCGATCATACCAACACATGGGAAATTATCAAAGACAACGACCTTATCTTTTGCCCATCAGACCCCACCTGCGCCGTGGGGGAAATCCCTTATAACTGCCACCTGAAGAAGGTCCAGTGTGGCGCCATCACCAAGATGTTGGAGCCAAGTGGAGCTTACATCAAGAACTACGTCGTTTGTGCCAAGTCAGCAGCCAGCGAACTGGGCCCCGTTTTCTTCAAGAACATAGGTTGGTTGAGGCGCTGATTTGTGTGTTTTTTATGCGATTAGAAAAATAGTTAGCAGAGCCGAGAGAGAGGTTTTTATTTAATACCATGGACACATGATTACGTTAGGTGACATAGCTCAGTGGTAGAGCGCTCGCTTTGCAGTCGCAAGGTACTGAGTTTGCGCCCGATCGCCCCTCTCCGTCGACTCAGCTGTGAGTGAGTACTGGTATGCTGACATTAGCACGCTGGAGTCAAAGTCGGGACGGAAAGGGACTGGCGACCCTACCACATCATTCCGCGGCCTAATATGCATGTTCCTTTAAGAACATGTCCCCTACGTTCATATGGAACCAATTTTGACTTGGCAACTACGCTTTCATGATGATTACTTGAATAATCAGAGATAGGTCGGGTAAACGCAGCGAAGAAAAAAATAATTTCAGCATGTGACAAGTATAGATATTACATTGGTAGAAAAACCCACAATGTAAAACTAGATTTACTGAAAGTCTCACTTTCAATAAATCTAGTTTTACACTGTGGGTTCTTCTACCATTGTATCAACAAGGTAGTGTTTTCACCATTCAAATATTATATTGTTTTTTATCATGATTTTTTTTCAATTATTTACTGTTGAATTCGGAGACACAAGATCGCGTGAATAACTTAATTCATTAACCAATATGGACTCCAGGATCTGAGAAAGGAATTACGGAATACATACAAGAAATACTTGACGGCTTAAGGATCTACTAGCTGGTATTGAAAACGAAACCATACTTGGGTAGAACAGTATATAACGCTAATAGTCCCCAACACAATGGCAGTGATGAAAGTAGGTGAAATAAAATTGATGATTTCAAATTCACTAAACAGAATCGTTCTCCCCTAAATATATTGTAGAAATCGCAACAATTTAGCGCCACATCGGTGTTAGTACAGAAAACTTCTAGTAAATCAGCTTCCATAATCCTATTTTTCAAACATAACACACATTTCTCTGTAAGACGAGATGACCAGTTCTCGTTGTTTTCAGGAGTAGCTTACGCCGACAACATGGACGACAAGCACGTTTTCCCCACCGTTACTGACGTCCGCCGCTGTGCGCTCGAGGCGACGGGACTGGTGAGTAGCATTTTTAATCCTTACAATACCATCAACTTCTTCTTTTGTTTTAGTCTGCGCGTCTCTCCCTATCGCCATTTCATAAAACGAATATCGGTTATGATTTTTTTTTCAACGAAACTTCAGTGTCTCTCTGCAACATCAAACTGATTTTTTTGCAACATCAAAGCCCTTATCCCGTCCCCCAGCTGCAGCCTGACACGACCATCAACCGCACCGCCATCGCCGCCTCCATCACCAACTCGTTCAAAGGCTCTCCCTTGGGCGTCGCCATTGCCCAGGCCACTGCCACCTGCCCCGAGCCGACCGAATTCATGATGGCAGACTTCATGAACTGCCTCAAGGATGCCTGCCTCCAGAACGTGATTGCCCTTGCCACAACGGCACCCCCGCCCACGACGACGACTACGACTAAGACTACGACTCCGCAGGCCAGCATTCTCCTGCCCATAAATTCCATATATATGCCTGACGTCTGAACACAACAGAAAACGGGAATTTCTCACACCAACCAGATGACCGGATTTAGTTTATGAATTGTCTTATTGTTTTTTCACGACACAGTGATATGTAACATCAGATGTACTATTCAAAACCTCATGAATATTATGTACTATTAAATGCAAGAGCCTTATTATTGTAACATTATTCTCATGGTTATCATTTTATTATCAATAATAATCATTACAATAAATATTTTCCATTTTACCCTTTCTTTAGTGTTAAGCTAATCTCTTACACAAACTATTTATACTTTTTAAAACATAACTACTACCACATCCTAGCTTAAGACTAAAGGAATGACCGTTTCTTTTCGTTCACCCGAATGGCTTCCTTCTAGTTCTCCATGGAACCTTCCCAAACACACTGAAAATATTAAAAGTATTATCATCTCATCGCCATCCGTCAAACATCTGTTACCATTACATTCATGCTTCTGAGTTAAGATTATGATTATTTTTATTACATCTGCAATCGTCATAATGTTTACGATGTTAAGTATTGGTTCTGTATTATATGTATATATTTTTTGTTTGTTTAACTGTAACCTTGGGTTCCTCTTCCTTATCATTCTCCCAATATTAATTTATTACATTTATTATAATTTCAATCGTGATAGTTTCAGTTATTATTAAGTAAGATTCATAAGCAACCAACTATCCTTTACTATGCTTCCGCTGGCATGTTTTAAGCATTGCGTTCATTAAACACGAAAAAACTCAATTTAACAAGGTTATCATCTTCAATTTCAAACTTATTTCTATTTCTAATTCAACTCTATTTTCTAATCACTGACTCGTTTCTACAGAACGCGGCCAAGGGATACATAATGCCGAACACATTGGCTGGTATTTCCCTTTGTTAAAGGCGAGAATCTTATCATTTCTCTTGTTCCTTCATCTGATTTCTTACTGTTTGTTTTATCGCTTATTTTCGTATTGCTATATTCTACGTGTCTGAGCACAGCATGCAAATGCACAGGTACATGCGCGCGTGCACGCACGTACGCACGCACGCACGCATGCACGCACACACACACACACACACACATACACATACACATACACATACACATACACATACACATACACATACACAACACACACACACACATATACCCGCACCCGCACGCACACGCACCCGCACCCGCACCCGCACCCGCACGCGCACGCGCACGCGCACGCACGCACGCACACACACACACACACACACACACACACACACACACACACACACACACACACACACACACACACACACTCACACTCACACTCACACTCACACTCACACTCACACTCACACTCACACACACTCACACTCACACGCGCACGTGCACGCACACACACTCACACACACACGCACTCGCACTCGCACACGCACACGTACACACACGCGCACTGCACACACAAACTCGTATATCTAAGCAGCTGATATCATAACAAGTTAATTTTATAACAAAGTATTCTCTCTCTCAAGTAGAATTTAATGTATATTTAAAAAAAAAACACCAATGAACACATTTCAAGTCAGTCAAGACTTATCATAATAACATATTCTCTCTATCACAAACGTCTTCAGGTTTGTTTAAAAAATAGATTTCACAAAGAGAAAAATCTTCAGGTATACTATAATCAACTAAAGAACACGAATAAAGGGATTAATCAATATTCCAAGACATTAAAATTGTGGTGTTTTATTGAACTATAGCATAAGGAAAGGACATGGCATAAAAATACTGCATATGCTTGACAGATGACAAAATAAAGGATGTGATGGCTAGTAACTCACAGCAAAGTGTAATCCCTAGCATGGTACTTCCACCAAGCAATACAGTAAGTGGCAAATCACACCCAAATTCCTAAAATACATTGCATATGTCTGTACACTTTTTTTTAATCTCACTTGAAAGGCGTCCTGTGTGGCTTCTGAATCTGCATCTGCTGGTAATAATTATATCAAGATCTTTTTTTTTATGTATTTGAGCATTTGACAAGATTGGAAAACGTTCTTTCAGAGTAAAGTCATACAGGGCCTGTAAAGCAAGAAGCAATCTATTTATTTTCACTTTCCCTGACAGATAATTCTTTTCCCAAAAAATAACAAATAATTAATTAATAAAAAACACCTCTTCTATTTATTGGTAAAATATTTGTCTTTAACTAGCACAAACAAATAATCAGTATAGAACATACGAACACACAAGAAATGAGAAATGGTGTTAATATAAAAAGGACAATCAAATTTTAAAATGCGACAAGGACTTTGTCTCTAGCCAGACATATCTTTAATTTGCGCTAATACCTGTTAGTCTTACATAAAAAAAATGACTTAGTTTTACTCTTATAGCTAACATGGGACTCCATTGTTAGTTTTACGGTGATATTTGTGATTCCTGATAGCTTTTGAATTTGACCTGGGAGGGGGGGGGGAGAGAAGCTCAGCAGCTCTACCTCTGTACATGTGCAACAATATTTCATCTGATGGGATTCAACTCTATGGATAAAACTACAGGATGTGATTATTCCATTGGCATAATCTGAGTACCTTCAAAGATGAGCAAAAATTCTGAAACCAGACCCACTCTCCAATAAATACACTTTGGGGGGAAAAGAGAAATGAAAATATTAGTCATAAAATGGAAGCAAAAAGTTATCATTGAATGACCCATCAGGTAATTCAAGACAGTATGAAAATACACAAGTACTATACAAAAAATGGTAATTCTAAAACTAATGACAAGTACAGATGAACTAATGTCAGTAAACATTTCATATCAATAAAATATACTTGTTAACATTTCACATACAATAATTATTTGCAACCTCTTGCTGCAACGAATTACATAGACCATTGTCTTTACATGTGAATTCTGCATCCTATTGTCACCATTTCCACGGCAAATGTGCACTAAAACAATATAAAACACTCGCCTGTAACCTTTGAGCTCATTGATGGCAATATTCATAAAAAAATGTGGCAGTGATGCAGTGACACAATACTTCACATATCAATACTCGACTAACAGCACAGTGCAAAGATCATGGAAATCATAATGGTGATAAAAAAGGAGAATGAAATCAAGGCTTTTCCATTTCATTTCGAATTAAGGGAAATTCTTCGAGGCTTTAAATCCTGTTATATCTGATTGACAGACGCACTTTACTGGCTTTCTAGAAAAGAAAAAAAAAATGGGACTATGTCAGAAAAATAACATTTCTATTGCACTTTAGCAAACCAAAAATAGATACCTTCACCATTTTATAACCGTATTGCTTTCTTGTGCTAAAAGTTTAATTCAGGGGGAGAACAGTTCAGCTTATTCCTAAATCTAGCATACAGAAGGAAAAAGCAATGTGTGTGCTTTGTTAGCATCTGCGCACAACTATAATAGCAATAATAAAAAATAAAATCGTTTTGCACCAATAAGGAACTCTACCCATTTCCAATGTCTGAATACCTATATCTATGCATCTAAAATAAAGAGAATAAGAGAAAATTCGCCAAATTTGTGCAAGGAATTAATTAAAAGGCGTTTTTTTTTTTGTCTGAACTTACTGCTAGTTTTGATCGACGGGGGTGTGGACTGTTGCCCCCACTGGAAAGGCAGAAGTCTGTCAAATCCTTAATCAACACATAAATATATTTTAATCACAACACCAATACCATCATAACACCAAAATAAGTGTAAATGCACTCTCTGTCCTACAAAAACTTTGGGAAAAAATATATATAAAATTAGACACCAGATTAATAGCGTTTGTTATATCCCGGAAATGAATTCTATTTTTCTGAGCGTTGTGTAATATCTTATTTAAAAAATGGGTTAGAACCTTTACATACCAAACCAACATGCGAAATAAAAACATCCCCCTGTATTCAAATCTTGCCAAAAAGTTTAAATACTTCAGCAACGTCAAAGAGTATGAAATTACAAAATCACTACACAACACTTCGTAATACTTTGCTTTTCCATCTTGGTGTGAGCGGAGCGTCTGATCCGGGAAGTTGCTACAACCAAGTCGACACCGTGCGCGTGCTGGGGACCTGACGAGTCGTGTGTGGGGTCGAAAATTTGGCGTTCCACCTATCACTAGAAGAACCTCGGCTCCGCTCTCCGCACGCCCTACTCGCCCCGCCATGCACACAGAGATTAATAATACAACGGGAAATATATCTACTCTTTTTCGTCCTATGGAATATATACACAGTTCACGTGGCAATCTTCTCCTGCTCTCTCCTCTGGTAAACAAGGTTGGTCGTCTCGTCTCCTCACACCCTCTTTGTGCGAACCACCGCTCCTCATCCGGCCACCCAGCGCGGGCTGCCCCTACGCCGGCCGTGCCCTCCAAGTGCCTCCTCCTCAGCCGAAGAGCTTGTCGAAGCACCCGTGGCAGTAGGGCTTGTCGTTCTGCTCCTTGAAGGTGCCCTTGTTGAGTTGCTTGAGGCAGAACGAGCAGACGAAGTGCTCCGGGTGGAACTTCCTGAACATGGCGGTGATGCAACGACCTGCAACACAAGAGCTCTGTTAAAGATCGTTGGTAGAATTCGAGAGCTTTGTTTCTATGCGGATGAACCATATAAAATAAGTTATCAATTTTGAAGGAAAGCATGTAAAACAAGATGAAAATATATATGTTGTGTTACGATGTGTACTGAAGAATAACTGTCTCTTATTTTCCATTCTTATAAATTGAAAGGGTAATGCAACTACATAAGATAAGAATTTAAAAAAAACAGGATGATACATTTATATTTATATACATATACATACACACA